CAATTTCATTAAAGAGTTTGAGAAGTAGTGGCATCAGCTTTACTCTAAATTTCATAGAATTAGAGAAACAATCCACAATTTCATTTGGAACAAGAAGAGACCTAGAATAGCAAAAGCAATTCTAAGCAATAAAGACAAGGTGGAGGTGTCATAATCCCCAACCTCAAACTATACTACAAAGCTACCGTGATAAAAACATCATGGTACTGGCAAAGAAACAGACCTGAGGATCAAAGGAACACATCAGAAGATGTAGAATCAACTCAAGACATACTAAGCCACCTCATCTTTAACAAAGAAGCCAAACACCCTCACTGAAGGAAAAATAGCCTCTTTAATAAATGGTGCTGGAAAAATGGTTTCAACTTGCCAAAGATTAATACTAGACCCAGATATTTTACCATGCACTAAACTAAAATTGAAATGGATTAAAGATATAAATATTAAAACAGAAACACTAAACTTGCTGGAAGGTAGATTAGGTAGGACTCTTGAAGACATTGGTATAGGAAAAGACTATGAACAAAATCTCAGTTGCACAGGAACTATCACAAACAATCAACAACTGGGATATCATTGCATTATAAAGCTTTTTGCACAGCAAGAGAAACCACCTACAGAGTGAAGAGACAACCACAACACAGGGAAAAACTTTTACCTGCTGTTATTCAGACAAAGGAGTACTATCTAGATATAAAGAGTTTTTAAAAAATCAGAGTCCCCCATATTTAAAGACCCAATGCAAAAATGGTCATCTGAAATGAATAGACATTTCTCAAATGGAGAAGTAGAAGCAACAAATAAACATATGAAAAAAAATGTTCATTATCACTGGTCATTTGAGAGATATAAATGAGAAAACAAGGTTGAGATTCCATCTCACTCCAGAAAGAATGGGTGGTATCAAGAAATCAACCAATAACAAATGCTGCTGGGTGGGGCTGTGGGAAAAAAGGAGCTCTTCTTTGCTGTTGGTAGAAGTGTGAATTGGTATAACCTCTGGGGAAATCAGTGTGGAGATTCCTCAAAAAATTAGGATTAGAGGTCCCATTTGACCCAGCTACTACCCCTCCTGGGTATGTTCCCAAAAGAATTAAAAGCATCAGACCTCAGCAATATAGCCATATTCATAGTGTCATAATTGTAATAGCTAAATCGTGGAAACAGCACAAATGTCCATCAACCAGTGATTGGATAATGAAGTTTTTTTTTTTAATATAAAATGCAGTACAACTCAACCATAAAGATAACTAGAGACATTTATAGCTAAATGGACCCACCTTGAGGCCATACTCTTAAGTGAAATAAATAGAAAACACATGGGTAAATACCAAATTGCTTCTCTGGTGTGAGAAACTGAAAGTATAAATGAGGACCAAAATGTATAATAGATATTGTGAAATAGGAAGAAAATGTTCAAGTGGGAAGGGCAGGGGGCAGGGAAAAGGAAAGGAAGTAAAAAAAAAAGAAAAAGAAGAAAAACGGAAACAAAAACTTAAATAGGGAAGGGTGGATAGGGTTGAAGGGAGGGAATGGGAAAATATAAGAACCAAGATGTATAATTACAGGTACAAATTCCCAATAATGAATGTGATCATTATATATACCTAAAATGTACCAATATATTTAATGAACAAAAAAAACCTTGGGGCTGGGGATTTAGCTCAGTGGTTCTGCCTCCTGCCTTGCAAGCACAAGGTCCCGAGTTTGATCCCTGGTACAAAAAAACAAAACAAAACAAAAAAAACTGGATATCTATATGCAGAAGACAAACTATATTCCTATCTCTTGCCTTGTACTAAAATCAGATTAAAATTTATAAAAGATCCAGATAGAAGACTGAAAATCTTGAACCTACTAGAAGAAAATGCAGGGGGAACATGTAAAACCACAGGGATAGTGAAAGACTTTCTGAATAGGGTACCATCAGCAGTGAAAATCATATAACAAGCCAACAAATGGGATTACATTGAATAAAAATTTTTACATAACAAGAAAACAACAGACTGAAGGGATGACTTATAGAATGGGAGAAAAGCTGGGTGTGATGGAGCATTCTGGGCAGCTGAGATAGTACTGCAAGTTTGAGCCTAAAATGGCCAATATAGTGACGTAGAGAGACCCTGTGTCAAATAAGAAAAGTAAACAGAAAAGGGCTGAGTGTGTACCTCAGTGCAAAGACTGAGTTTCATCCCCAGACTGAAAAAAAAAAAATGTCATAATGGGAGAAAATATGTCATCTACTCTTCTATCTAGAATATATAAAGAACTTTAAAAAAATAACAAATAGAGCTCTATTAATACATGGGTGAGTGAATTAAACAAATAATTTTCAAAAGTAGAAATGGCCAATAGGTATATTCAAAAATGTTTTAACATCTTTGGCCATTAGTAGAATATGGTACATTAATTTAAAAATCACACTATCAAATAATATTTAATGATCCAGGAGTAAATTCGACAACTTTTTACTGTCTCAAATTTGCCTACGATTTATCTCATGGATTAATAATTTATCAAACACTACTTATGCCCCAAACTATTTTTTAAGCCCTCTATATCTTTTAAAGCAGATAAATGTGAGCAGTTGCTCAGTGTCACTGCAGGAAAAATTAAAAATGACTTTCCTCTTTTGCTTAGGCTTGGTTTTGTCACTACCAATTTTCCTCAAAACCAACTGTTTTTAGGTATAATCTATTAGCAAGTAGCCTATCCTTTAAAATTCAAATATGGCTCAAATCTTTTAAATAGTACCAATTCTGCATTCTTCCTGGTTTCAATTACTCAGTCTATTCGTTAGAGGAAAAGGGGAGGTAGAAGAGTGCCTTGGATTTTTTTTTTTATTTTCTAAACAATTCAGAGATCTGCTTGCTACCTCTATTCTTTACAAAAGAGGAAGGGAACAATAACTCTTTTTTTCCTGTGATACGTAAGCTATACCACTGCCTTTAGCTGGCAAAAGCAGCACAGTTCATGTTTTCTATTAGACAAGGCTATGGAGTTATTACATTTTCATTGGAAGATGCTTTTGTAACACTGAGAGCAGACCTGTTAAGTTCTACATGTATTTGTGGACTTGCTAGGGATAATGAATATGGGATAACATTCAGAGAAGGTACTGCAAAACATTTTCTGAAAGTACCTTTTAATATCTTTCTCCAAGACTCTGGGAAAAAAAATAGAAATGAACACACTTGATATTCAATAGGGTTAACTGTGTGACTCACCTGTGATGCACTACCGAGTTTTTCTAAAATGTTACAAATACTTCTCAGCCATGGACTCTGAAGTGCTGGGAGCGAGAATGAGGCAAGATTTAAAATCAAACAGCTCTGGTTCAACTGAATTCTCTACATGCTTTTGTTTAGCTAAATAAAATTTAAAGATGAAGTCATTTTTTAAAAATGGTGATTATAATTGTACCTTCCTTATTCCTGTGTAGCTAAGGCCGGCCTCAAACTTAGGCTCCTCTTGCCTTAGCCTCCCAAGGACTTGGGTTATAAGCTTGTGCTACCATGGCTTGTGAATGATATCATTTAGATACCTATCCAGAGCAAATGTTTTCCTCTCTGGGATATGTAAAATTTATTTTAAAAAATAAGCAATGAGAATAAAATTTCAGAATAACAATAACAGTAGTACTACTCTCTGATTTAGTCAGTACATAGAAAATGAAAAGTAAAATTATTAACACAATAATTCTATCTCAAAGGAGAAAATTTAGAAACCAAGACATTTTTTTGGAAGTAATTCCCTAGTCATGTTTCAAGAGCCTGACCATTTATTGTGGGAAAAACTTTTTCTGACTCCTTTTTTATCTAAATGATGGTGCCCTGTAATGAGCTGGGTGTGGTGGTGCATGCCTGTAATCCCAGCATTCAGGAGGCTGAGGTAGAGGGATCATCAAAAGTTCAAGGCCAGCCTGGGATACACAATGAGTTCAAGGTAAGCCTGATCTACATAGTGAGACCCTGTCTCAAAAAAGCAGAAATAATAACTATAATAGCTACCATTTTCAGGCAATACTGCTCTATGCCAGATAACACAAACACTTTATTTGCTAAACATGTCCCATGCACCTCACAGATGAGCACAAACAGTACACAGTTTAACTCGACCTAGCCAATGAACTAAATAGTTTCTAAGTGGCATTCTGCATTTGTACAAAGAGCTTGACTTCAAAGTGCTTAAAGGGAGAAAATTTTATAAAGTAGAATTGCTCACACTTAATCACTAAGTGTTCTACTAATTTCAAATGATGACAGAGTTACCATTTAGAAATGAAGATCCAATAATGTTATTCCCTTGAATCATTTGAGATGCTTGTTGAAATGGCACATTTCCCTGGCCTATGAAGAGCCTCCAAATCTGATCTCAATGGTTAGAACTAGTGATCTGCATTTTCAACAAAGTTTCCTTATAAATCTTTGTATAGCTTGAGAGCTTTTGGTGAACAGAACAAGTTCAGACTCATTATTTTGGATAATCAACAATGCCTTCAGAGCTAAGTAGGGTAGTGAATAACTGTATCTCAGCACTTGGGAGGCTTTGAGGTAAGACAGTCACAAGTTCCAGGCCAGTCTGGGCTACATAGTGAGATCACAATCAGCCTGGATTACACAGGGAGGCTCTATCTCAAAAAACCCCAACCAATCACCTGCTCAAACAAATACAAGCCTTGAACAGCACCTACCATGTAATAAATGTTCAATAAACAACTGTGGTGTTGTCACCGGTGAGGAAAGGAGAGAAGGGACTAAGGAAAAAAGTGAGGACAGTCAGGCTACTGAAGTTCTGGATAGGATTAATGCTCAGAAAGGAGAACAGACTAGATCTTTAGGAGAAAGGTGAAGTAGTATTTATTAATTTCAAACTTCTACTAGAATTATCTTTCTCCAAAAGATTAGTCCTTGAAAAGCAACTGCAATCATTAAGTGTGAATTTAACTACATAGTTTTTAAATGTCTTTTGCTCTTATTGTACCTTTCTCTTTGCTATACCTGCATGTGAACTGGATGTGCTGGTCCAATGAGTCAATTTAGATGGAGATTGACTGATTCAGAGGAGCACACTTGCATCAGTCCTTCAAAGGCACGCCCAGTAGCTGCACATCTGGTGTTCCAGGTACCCCAAATAATTGTTAAAATTTCCCTGGAAATTGCTCTGAAAAGTGCTTCAGAAATATGGATTGGTTTAAGTGTTTAAATTTAGCCAAGTGAGAAGTCTTCTGTTGGTGTTTTCAACCACTTCCCATCCCAAACCTTCACCACTGGTCAAAAAGAGACAAAAACAAAACAAAACAAAACAACAGTAATGTATAATTTTGCCACAAACCACTCATTAGAATAGGACATTAGAGCTGGGATGAACCATAGAAATATTATGAGTCACACTTAAAGTTTTTATAGCATTTTATACTTAATGTAATACAGCACTCATATTTATAAACAAACTTTTACAAACATAACTCATTTGATCTTAACACTAACTCTATGTAGATGACAGTGTCTTCATTTGGTATGTGAAGAAATTGAAGCTATATGATTGCTCAAAGCCAAGTAAAGTTAAGAACCCTGCCTCTCTTATTGGACAAATGGGAAAATTAAAGAACAGAGAATAACTTATAGAATCAATTGTATGATAATTACAGGCAGAATACAGACCTCCTAACATCCACCCTTTTCCTGTTTTTACTTTTGTCTTCTCTTCACTCAATTTTTATTTGATTTCTCTGTGCCTGACACTCTGCTAGAGCACTGTAGCAGCTTAAAATTTATGTAAAGTTATAATTGTTATAGAGGTGACTCATACAAATGCAGTAAGAATGCAAGAGAGGTACCTAATTCAGTTAGGCAGAGAATGGCAAAAAAATTTCTAGATAAGCAGGTAAGTTAAAAAAACAAAACAAAGAAAAGAATAAAGCTGTTGCTACTGTTGATGCATAACATACTATTATTA